CAAGCTACAAACAAGACAGCCTCCTTTTCCCCCCTCTCCCCCCTCCTCTCTTGCTCTCTCGCTCTCTCGCTCTCTCCCCTCTCATCCCTATAACCCAGGTCTGTTCTGCTCCCTCCCATCCTTGCTCCTTTACCCTTTCCACCCTCTCCATCCCCCCTTGTTTTCCCTCCTCTCTCCTGTCCTCTCTCCTTCACCCCCATTCCCCCCACCGAGAATGTGGGGGCCCCACTAGCATAAATTGTCAGCTGTTCCTGGGCGTACTCTCCATGGCTCCCCAAACTCACATAAGCCTACTCATGCAGTCGCCGGTGGGACAAGGGTAACCCAAGTCAGCCCTGGTGGTTATGAGTCTGAAAAAGTATCCCAAGGCTCCTGAGTAATGCTGCAGTGTGAAGGCACCAGGAGTTTTACTCTATAAAAAGCAGCAACAGATACTGTGGCTAATGGTATCCCAGGGTTAACATTAACATACTGTATTTTAGGCCTTGTTAATTCATTAGTTTGAGTCTTCATTATGTACAAGTAGCATTATACTGCCAGTGTGGTATCACCTTTCTGTACTTCTTACTCTTTCCTGCAATCAAGGACAGTTTATCCAAATTCTCAACTCACTAACAGGATCACTCATTGTTAACCTTGTCCCACTTAAGAATTTTTAAACCAGCCAGACCTTATTGCAGTTTTTATAATGATCACCGTGACACCTGCTTTTAGGGATAATTACGCATAAGAACATGAAGGTAATTAATAGTTTTATGCCTACCCAGAAGTCATGGAGAGGGTTCCACCTCCCTCACTCTGAGGTGTGTCTCGGGGGTGTCTCCTGGTTTCCAGAGGTTGATATGGCTGGAACCATTTTGCACTGTAGTCTTATTGTTACTGAGCAGCCATTGTTATCCACAAGCATGGGCTGTCATCTAGTGTTGAGATTAGGTACTGTTGGTTTAATGAAGAAACACATGAGTTTTTTTTTTTTCAGAGCAGCACCACAGAAGACTTGAAGTTGGATAAGCACCACTTATCCAAAGTCTCTTTAACCACCTGAAACAAGGTACAAAGGATCGGTTTGGTTCTGGTTCTGGATACACTGCCCTGATAATGAATGAAATGGGAGTAATGCACTTGATGCTGGGGAAACGTTGCTTCCTCCGTCTGCCTGGTTTGATGAGCATACTCATTACAGCAAACACATCAGTGAGATGTCCTGATGAAAAATTTTCTTTTGACTGCCCCTCTTTGTGAGGCTAGATTCAGCAGCAAAACAGTTCAGGTTTCAGTCACTGACTCAGAGGCACTTGGGCAAATGCTCAGGTTTCAACATGTGTCCTATGAGCTTTGTGTGGGTGTGGGGGAGTGGAGATAAATTAGTCTGGATACTAGTAAAAAAAAATACTTGTTTCTAAACCCCAAAACTGAAAGAAATTTTACAATGTGAATGGTTATGTCTGAATGCATTCTCCTATGCACAAAACAACTACATCAACTCTTGTAAGTACTGTACATTACACTATGCTTGTACTTCCTGTGCATATAAATGTCTAAAATGTCTTTCTGGATCACAGGACATTAAGAGTTTCAAAACTTCACATACAATGTAACCTGTCATGCAAAAAGATAGAAAAGTTGTTTTAACTGAAGGGAAGAAATATACAAATCCCTTGTAATTATCTTAAACATCCGCCAAACCAAGGCAAAGGTTTGTTTACAGTTTTTGTAAAGTCTATATATACATTTTAAAGCATCAGTGCAATAAAATTCATTTTTGGATAGTTATACCCAAAATAAGCACTTTAAAACAAAATGTTAGAATAGTGAACCTTAATTTGGATACATCTGGAAAATCATGATTACTGAACAACCATTTATTTATTCATTTCTTTATTCAGGTATTGAGGCTAATTTCTCTCCACAAAGAAGCGGGTGGGATAAACACAGAGTGCAGAGGCAGTGACAGGATGATTTCACTTGAGCTCCACCAAAGACAACAATCTCCACCTTTTATACTGACACACCCTCAGCCACCAGTTCACCCCTACTTTAAAGGCAGTCTGTGTCCATTCTGGGTGTCTGCACCGACTCTATGATCTATCCTGGGCTACCATTCCTATGCTCATATTTGGATGTATCTTTTCTATACTGTAGGTTTTTTATATCTGTTCACATATTACACTTTTGTTATGCAGTGCTGTTTTCCTGGATGATGAAACCCCCAACCTCTGTTTTCTTATGCTGATTTTTATGACAACACAATTCAAATCTTAATGGATTTCATCTCATTTTACTGCACAACATATTATGCAAAGACCTATTTTTCGCTGCAGATGAGTGAGTCTGAAAGGGTGCAAAGAGTGATTCATGTCTAAAGCTCTTCCTCACTCCTCCTGGATCAAACCCAGCAAACAGAGCTCCTCATCCTCCTCCTGACTGGATAAATGCAACGGACCCACTCCAGATGCTTCACAGTCCAGTCTCTCCATCACCACCGCTACACTTTTGCATGGGACGTATGCATGCTAAAGAGAATCAAAGTAAACCACAAGCCTGAAACCTTCTCTCTCCAGATAAATTATGTGAGAAAACAGATTAGTCTCTTGATTTATCATTGACTCTATAAAACATTAATGGTGAAACTTGGAAAAAAAAGCCAAACATGACTCCTTCAAACTGCTTGTTTGCCCGAATAAAACTCCAAACTCTGAACCTATTCAATTTGATATTACAAAAGACAAAGCTGAGCTGCACATCTTAACATTTAAGAAGCTGGGATTGGGTAATGTTTGACTTTTTTTTTTGCTTTTTTTGGGCGGGGGGGTCTGTGGCTCACGAGGTAGGGCAGTCTCCCCGCATGCCTAAGTGTCCCTGAGCAAGACACTGAGCTCTGAATTGCTCCCGGTGGCTTGATTAGCGCCGTTGTGTGGCAGCTGTCGTCATCGGTGTGTGAATGTGTGCGTGAATGGGTGAATGGTGGTATGATCTCCCTGTAAAGCGCTTTGGCCAGTACAAAAAAGTGCTATATAAATACAGTCCATCTACCATCAGTCATTGGCTAAACTTGCTTCTTTCTGTCACACAAACATTATATATAGAATATATACAATTGAAGCAAGAATAACAGGATATAAAAGGCAAAATTTTATTGTCTTTTAACAGATAGCAAGAGATAGCTCATATCTAAAATCAATTTGTGAAACAAACGTCTCTTTATGTGCACACACTGCATTTACTCAGTAGGAGGGGAATTTAAAGTAGAACAAGAACGTCTTGTCTTGGGATAAAGAAAAACAAATTATCAATAAAATGTAGGTAATTACACAGTTGTGTTGATTACTATTCAGAAATTCACATTAAAAACTTGACACATTTCCCTTTTTAAAAGTGGCAGCATTAGAAAAGACAGTGGAGTACAAATGGCCTGCAAATACACATGCAGCGATGTCACCATACCAGCCCTGAGTCAAACCCCCGACTCATGGACTATGAGAGACTAACAGATCGATATGCTGGAGTGGGAGACTAGTCAAGTCTTTTACAAGTTAGCACACCAAAAGACACAGACCTACACAACACTCAAAGGACAGTTTCACTTCTATGACCCCCGTCTAACTTCAAGTATACCCTCCGATGCTTGCAACACTTCAAGTATCCCTGCTGTGGACTCCAAACCTGAAACTTCATTACCGCTTCTTAGGTTTACGACATAAACTATGATATAAGTGCACTCGAAATTCATCTATACATAGAAAAATAATGATAACAATAAGTAGCAGTAATAGTTATAACAATTACTTTACATTTTAATTTTATACACAACCGTGACGTTATATCACTTTACACCGTGGCATCACATTCCCCACCCCCTGAGTGTAATGTTCAAGTTTACCCTTCTGTAGCTATGGAAACGCAAACGGGAACAGCAACCTTGGTTTGGTTATTTAAATAACATTAGCAATCACTGACAACGGTAAAGATTAGAATCAGAGTAATTATGCCTTTCCACAGACTGCTGTGCTTGTGTGACGGATGCATTATGTACAAGCTGCTGATCGATCGTGTGCCTCTGTCTTCAGTTCTGTTCAATGGTGTCCAACATTGACAGCCTTCATACTGGAAAACAAACAGGAGTGTTAAGAAACAGACAAGGTGCTCCAAAGAAAATCAATATAGATACTGAACACATGTAGTAATCACTTTACGCTGAGTGTATTGGCAACTCGCTCTGCAGGATGTTTATACATTGATGATAAAATACATATTCATCTCCTTCTTTCAATTTAAAACCACCTTTAGAGGATGATAGATGTCCAAATGAAGCAAGACACACATCAGATATTCAGTTAAGTGCAGCTCAACCTCTCAAGGTGTCACTCTCACCCACCTCAGTCTCTTTGCTTAAGCAGATCCACCAGCTGCTTCAGGAACCGGCAACAATGCAGCTCCGGCATTTGTACAACTTGGGATCATGGGTGTGGAGGTGGTTACGTACATTCCTCAGCCGAAAGAACGTCTTGCTGCAGAGCTACAGAGTGCAGGGTGGGTACGAAAGTGTCAGCAGTGCAGAAATGACCACAGACTAACAAGAGAGAAACTCAGATCTACAGAAATGATACAGCTGTGACACCACAGTGTCTAGAGCAACACTGGTTTAGACTAAATGAACCAACTACAGGTGTGAAAGCTCCAGATCCACTGGAACTTGAATAATATTTGATGGGGCTAAAAAAAATAAATTTTTTTGCTCACTTTTGGCATTTCATGTCATCATTATCTAACCCATGACTTAACTCTACTTGAGAGCTGGTGCTTACCGGACAGGGCCAGTGCTTGCCCTCGATGTGCCTGAGGCGATGCATGATTAGCGCATCACAGTCCCTATAGGAGGCTGAGCACTGCAGACAGGCGTGGGCTGCCTTAGGGACTTTAGGGGCTTGACTACGAGGGCCACGAAGCTGCTTTAACCTGGCCCGCCGAACAGCATCCAACATGACACAGCTCCTGCTGCGCTGAGTGAGAACTTGATCTTGTTGCTGAAGAGAAGATGGGGGGGAAAGTAAATTATGAATATGTTTACTCAGATTTTGTAGATACAATAATGTAATACTTGTACAGACAAAGAAAATGTACAGTTTGAAGTTACCATTAATAAAAGAAAGTGACAGTGATTTTCTCATCCTGTGTGATGTGATTTTCTACCTTTGGCATGGTCCGTGTGGCCTTTGACCTGGCTGATCTGGTCAAATGAAGAGTGTTGTTTCGGGAATCCGCTCTGGGTCTCTGAACCCTGTTTTGGCTCACTCTTCTTTCCACCCTCTCCCTCTTCACCACAGGCAGGGTGGGTGGCCCTCTGGCTCGCAATGTCCTGTGGGGGGACTCTTCAGCTCCAAATGTCTCCCCAATGTGTGACACAGAGCGTGTTAAGCAGATATCCACACTCTCCTCCTCTTTCTTCAGTCCTGCCATGGTCCCCCCTGGTGGGCGACAGAAGCTGAACAGAAAACCAGAGTCCAGTAACTTGATGGGGGGCTTGCTCTGGCGTTTGCCCAGGTCTGGTGAGGGAGGATCAGAGAAAGGCCCAACAACTGGCACTGGCTCTGCTGGCTCCTCTTTAATGACTTTGTACAGGGGATGGCTATAGATGGACGATGGAAGGGGATGCTCTGGTAACTGGAGCCCACCAGGTTCATTATCCTTCACTCTCAGTCTAGAGTTCATCACCCCCTTCATCCCCTGGCTCCCCACCTTCCTCCCCCCCTCCCTGGGCTTAGATTTTGTCTTCCCCATCTCTCTTGTGGTTCCCCGCCTAAGCTTGGCCTTTGTCGCTAGTCGGCTGCTGTTGTAACGTAGCGTTCTGACTGTCTCTACATTGACCTTATTTCTAGCCCGCGTCCTCTGTGATGGTGGAGATTTGTGAGGTTTCTGGCTACAGCCATTATTTGTTACAAGAGAGAAACCTGAAATAGAGTACTCAGCTGGTTCTGATTTGAACTTGACTGTGCTTCTCACAAGAGTTGTTTTGGCATTGCGTCGTGGAGGTTGCTGTGAAGGAAGCTGGGTGCAGTCACCACCCCTCACTGACCGCCTGAGTTCTCTACCCCCAAAAGCAGGCCTGGACACAGGCTGGAACAGGTCTGGTAACACACCTTTGCTTCGCATGCTCCTGTCACTTGGAGGTACATGTTGCTGGATGGTCTTTGGCCTCTTTGCTGTATTCTGCTCCCTGCAGACTGGACCCATAGGTTTGGTTTTCAGTGACTTGTTGAGGAGGCGAGTGTTGACAGGGTTACAGAGGGGAAGTGACAGTGCCACATCCCTAAATGCTAGCCCTGGGGAGGGGGAGCGAGGTTTCCGCCGCTTAGTCAGTGAATAGTTGTTAGCCTTAAGCTTCCTAAGCCGCTTCTTTTGTCTCCAGCCAATGAGATCTTCTGGTCTGGGGAGGAGGGCGGTCCTCTGTAGCCCCAGAACATTCATCAGCTTGTACTTCTCCTGTGCTCTCGCATAATCCTCTTCATCCTCTCCGACCTCCTCTACTTCCTGCTTCACCCTCACTGGGCTGCACACAGCACTAGGCCTCGACACAGAGGTGTGAGAGAGTCGAGTAATAGAATGAGGTTTTCCGTTTCGTGCAGGGCTCTCTGGCATGGGCAGCAATCTCTGAACCTCCTTTGCAGCTCCAGGAAGGGAGCGAAGACGATGGGTGTTTGATGGAGATAAGGGCGAATAATTCTGTGACTGATGATTGGCTATGGCATGTCGAGGTGCAGTAGCTTTCTTGGAAGATGGAGATTTGAAGTCCATTAGTTTCATCCTGTGGGAGGGACTCAGAGGGAGGCTGTTATGACCTTGGTGTTTTGCTGTTCTGCGCAGATTGCGCCTGGGACTCCCCTCTACAGACTCATCCGATGCTTCCAAAGTGAGACTGAAGCAGTCATTCATGTTGCCCTCCAATCCCAAAACCCTTTTCCTTTTGTTTTCCCTTTGCTGGTGATGATGTTCCTGGCATGCGCCAGCACAGGTTGAAGTAAAGCCCTGGGCAGGATGTAGCTGCTGTTCCTGCTCCTTCATGAGGGCAGAGCAAGCTTCTACTGCAGGCCACATGCCCAGGTGGCGGGCCATGGTGATGACTTCCGGTAGGTCCTCCTGGCGAACGCACAGAGTAGAGGAGTAGGAGAAATCCAGCAGAGACAGAAGGCTGTCCTCACTGAAACCTGAAGAAAAAACCGTCTTTGATTAGAAACGCTTAACCCTGGTCAATCAGTGAGTGAGGTGAAGAAGATGAAAGCAGTGTAAACAGACCATCAGAGAGAGAGAGCAGGAAGAGTGGGGGCAAAGTGTAAACATGACAGTGTAGACAATATTAGAACTGTTTTAATCAGGGACACTACGTCTCCCATCTGAAGACACACATCAAAGACAGATAAATGAACTCCTGAAGTGTATTTCAGCAAGAAAACACACAATCACCAAGCTGAACGTTCACATGAGCCATTAATGGGGGGTGAGAGCGAAAGGTTACAAAACTGAAAATGCAATATGGGCTGGAGAGAGAAGTACAAACCTTACATACTTCCTCACATCTGCACACCTGTTATATTGGTGCTTGAAGTGAGTGTGAATTGTTGATTTTCAAAAGTTAGAAATATTGATGGACACAGCCCCTAGGCCTCCAGGTATCTGGTCTTACCAGTGAGATCTATATCTGCTTTCATGCTCAGGTCCATCTCCGTGAAGATTTCCTGGAAGTGATCGCTGACGGCTGCCAGGACAGCTCTGTGGGCTGAGTAGGATCGCCCGTTGGTCCGCAGGGTAATGTCACAGAACAGCCCCGCCTCCCGCTGGCTCCTCAGCTTGCTCAGCATGTCAGCACTATGTGACGATATCGTCTTTGTGACACATCCTCTACAACCGAGCTCCTGAGAGGCAAACAGAGCGAGACAGAAGCAGACAGAATGGCATCATTTTAGGAAAATAATGTGTGACTAAACACTCGTAGGAGAGTTTACAAGTGTGAGAGCAAGATTAAGTGAGAATGAGGGAAAGAAAGTGTGAATTTAGATGTGGGAAATGCAGAAAAATGAGGCATTGATAACTCACCTCTGTTTTCTTGGCGAGCAGGCTCTGACATTCTGGACAGCCCAGGACAAAATCTCTGATCTGGAAGTACATCCCTGTGGGAAAAAACAGTTAAGTAAACAGATGAATACAAGGCAAAAAAGCCAGGCAGGGATTTCTGGTGCACCGCCAATCAGTTTCACACATGCCAGCACTTCCTAAAAATGAGAAATCAATAAACTCTACTGTGATGCTGATAACCAGTAGGGAATCAGAAGTTGTTTTAAAAATAAGGAACCACATGCTGTCCTATGAAGTCAACTGTTCATACCCTCCCACCAGTAGTTTTCAGCCACGCATTTGTAGGTCTCCTCCAGGGAGAGGTGGCGCTGGCCTGGCCGCCGCCGATGAAAGGTGGAGATAGCCTCATGTCTCCGATCCTCATCCAAAACCTCCCGGTAATTGATGAAGCCCTTCTCCAGCTTCCTGCGGTACAGCAAGCCGTCTATAACCTCAAAGGTGGGCGACCACAGTGCGAGGGGTCCACGCCCTTTACAGTTCCCGAGTGACTCCACATCCCCAGGAGTCTCCGTCCCTCCATCCGACCAAAGTTTGGACGGACAAAACGTGTCAGAGTTCGCGTAATGAAAGTTGGAGTGGGTGCAGTCGCCAGCCATTTTAACCGGTTTTTTATTCTGATGTAAAAATGCAACTTGATCCAGTATGGAAGGATCACAGCACTTCTGTGATATAATCAGACACTTCTCGGCCGGGTCGCTTCTTGCGCGTCACGTCCAAACTTTAGCCACTGTCCTGGGACAAAGTCCACGTGGATGCAGTGACAACAGATCACCGACCTTACGATAAGGGCCAACCAACACTCTCTGACACCCTGGAGATAGGCTGGCTCTAGCCGTCCACTTGATTATATCAGTTAACTGAAATTAACCTTAAAGTTTCTCATTATGACTTAGAAAAGCTTGTTTTGCTCAACAGGGGCTTAATAAGAGGGTCATCAGCATTTTACTGGACGGTGCTGCCTAGCTGTCAATAAAAAAAGATATCACTTCTCATTGTCCAACATCTGAGTAACATCCTCATATTTTTACTATAGTTCCACTTTCTGTTGGGAAAACATTTGGTCATATTTCTGTACAATTTGGGGATTTATAGTTACGCAATATCAATAGAAATGTCTGACTGTCCATCCAAGTACAGGTAATAAATTCAGCCAGGACAGTATAGCGCCAACAACGCCGAGCCAAGTGATGTAAAGTCACCAGTTTTGCAGCGATCACGCAAAAGGAGCCCTCACCGCCGACCTCTCGCCAGCAGTCCGTCTGCCATCTATCTCAGGAGTCGGGAGTGGCCTCTGGGGCTGGATGACGGCTGGTAGCCTCACCTCTGGCGTTAACTTGAGGTTTCTTTTCACCAACTCGAGTCGGAAGCAACATGATGACGCAGCTACCAGCTCAGCATCGCTACTTGAACGACCTAAAAGCGAGGTTGTCTCTGCGATCAGCACGAAATGTTGCAAATCACCGCCGGGTCCAGTCAAAATCGAGTCAATACGTTCCGGTTACAAGCCCGATATAGTTAATACACCCCTAGTTACCGCAAAACCAGTCTGTCGATGAAATGGTCAAAAATTTCAAACTCGTAACCTTCTGTTTTTTGCTAATCGGCAGCCTAACCGACCCAAGTGCTCCCCGCCTTCAGACAAAAGCCATTAGCAGGAGCTTTAAAGAGCCTCTGCTAGAGGAAATATGATTAGCTGACGGAGCTGCCACTCAAGTTAGTTTTCATCCCCTGGTAGTCAAGGTAGGTTGCTCGCTCACGATGCTAGTACTCTAGTATTTGCCTCACTTTGCTGCATTGCAAGTTAAAATGATACACCCAGTGAATTAGCACCACATTCACACCTGGGATGCAGGTTAAATAACGGCTGTTCACTCTACATATTCTGAAAAACGATATTAATTCGTTAGGACATATAATCAAATTCTTTCTAATTCTGAAGTGCGAGCGGTCACTGTCATCTCAAGGCAGGATTCTACAATACAGCAGGCTATTAGTTTAAAATTTAAAACACCTGACACTATATACCAAACGGAATAACATCAAAATCTCATATAGCACAGAAAATTAAAACATGTGTAAAACTGTACCTTCATAATCTAATTGTAATCGTTGCATTTGAAAATAAAATGGTTGGAATCAAATATATTAACAAACTCTAATCAAACAGCAGTATCCCCAGTTTTATGCAAAAGTAAGAATTTAAAATTATTTGGCCTTAGGGCAACATACATTTTAAACCTAATTTTATTAACTGAATAAGTTTATTGTAAATAGAAATGGTGAGGTCTAGTCTGAGTTAAATCAAAATTTACATTTAAATTAAATGTATAAACTCCTACATTTATATCAGGAAAAAATGTTACTGTGATGGTACATCACTGCATCAGTTTACAGTCTGTCCTATAATGACTGCCAAGTCTATTCCTACTTAAGTTAAGATGCTAAATCTCACAGATTTCAGCCAAATATAAGTTTACAGATACCCAGACTTAATTTTTTTCTTTCCATTAATGCCATGCTTTTGTGGCAGACAGTGAAGTCATTTGCAATTATCAGGAAATATCACCATCAGGATAAATAGATGCAAACACATTACAGTGATTTGTACATGGTTATACAGTTCATGCCCTTAGCATTTATTTGAAAACCTAGAGGTTTTAGAAAATTCATAATGGTTTACATTCTATTAAAAGGATTTCCTTCACCTTATATTTCACTTGTATTATGTGGCATTCATGTGGACAGCAAAGTAAGAATTGCATTGTACAGGGAAACATGTTTCCTAACTGTGCATATGACAAATAAACACTTTGACCTTTGGATGACCCCAGTTAACTTTTAAAGACTGTTAGGTTAAAATCGCCTTATTTTGGGGCAATATGGAAATAAAGGATTCTAATTTCTCCAGTTTTTCCTGGCAGTGTAGAGAACAGTTAGACCTGCATGTGAATTAACGTCTATAGAAACTATAACATTACCTGAATACATTTATTAAATCTAAATAATACAAATGACAAATAAGATAAAGAAATTTAAAGACAGATATATTGTTAGTTTACAGTCACAATAATGTTCTGAATCCTGAATACACAGAGACAAATAACCATCTACTCAACAAATGGTGCTGCATTTGGGAAGCTCAGTCTTCGCTATAAGTGTAATGATGGCTTGCAAGTTGTAAACCATGAAATATGCCTATAAATAATAATATCCCTTATGGAACTTAACATTTTATATAACTGCCAGCTGCTTGTCACCAGGAAATCATGTATCATCAACACAAATCACTTTACTGCAAACATCATTTATTGGACAAGAAGCACATTACCTTGTTTTTTCCTCCTTCGGGTGTCGAGTGCAGTTTTAGGTTCAAAACCATATGTTTTTGATAAGAAGTGAGATAATTAGCCTTTTTTACAACAGCATTTAAGTATCTAAATATCACACAAATTAAATTCAATGGCTACCTCATTACATGTTTACTGTATGATACAAAACACACAACTAAATGAATTAAAGCAAGAACACTTGCAGCAATGCAGTTCACTTTGTACCCAAGTACATTATGAGAAGTTAAAGCTTCATGTAGTTAAACCAAGTATAGATAAATCAGCCCAAACGCAGTGGTGTTGCACTATGGGATTAGATTCATATGGAACATCAGTGGTTTTGTCCTGAAGCTTCTTTAACTGCTGCGCTCTGCTGTATGTACTCTTCTGTGATCTAGCAATACAATGCGCCCAGGAAACGCTACGCCTGGGTGACACTGGGCTTTGCTGGGGGGTCACTGATCTTGGGCCGTTTGGACTCTGGAGGCTGGCATACTGGATCGGTGGGAGGAGACGGACGTTCTGGAGAAACACAAAAGACGGAATCTATGATAGCCTGATTCTGTACAGAGTAACTGCTCTGCAGTGATACAAGATACTGGATGCAATACAGTATGTTAAGACACTTGGTTTGACCGACTTTGGTCAACATGTATGATTCAGAGTTAAATACACCGCCTAGTTACCTTACTACCAACTACAGTGATGCATCTGAAACTGATCATGCCAGGACATGGTGCTATTCTAAATGTTTAAATCACAAGCTGTTTCATTTCATTTACAGAGTAATTTTACTACAATAACTGGGTCTTATTTTGTCTTCCTATCTAATAATTGATTTGTACTCATTAGGTTAATTGCTGATATTTGTCTGTAAATAGCTATATAATATTCCTAAAAAGACAAGCAGTCGGTTTACAGACACACTTCCTAGTTCAGCTCTGACTATTTATTTACCAAAGCATGCACAAAGGTTATTTTGCAATGAAGACATTTGAGGTGCTCACAGTTTTACCTCTAAACAAAGTGGTTTAGGTCACCAATCTCTGTTGTTCTTGGTTTGTTTACAACCTGTCTGACAGCTCATGTTTCTTGCTCCATGGAACTGTATTGTAATGGTTTCACCATGTTCCCAGCTCTCAGCGATTACATTGGTGAGTGCAAGTTTATCATACCTGATAAAAATGATGGTCAGCACTAGAAATACAGTAAGACCCAAAATGTAATAAAGAAATATTGTTTAAGCTCTGGCTTTTCTGCTAAGCCATAGGACATATATAGCAGCAGATTCCATTTAAATGTTGGATTTGTGGAAATAATCTTATCTGGAGGCACGACAGTGCTATTTCAGCTAGTGTACACTGATCACAACTGCACTGACCTGATCTTCAGCATTTCATTGCTCCAAATCTGACCTGATTAAATGGTTAGGACATGACCTGACTGATCCAAGTCAGTACAGTTTCTTTGTCAATGTCATTCAAAATTTCATTGTTGTCACTGTCATTTCATTCAGGCCTGGAGGACCACCAACTCATTTCAGTGTCCATGAATCCCTGGCCTCTTGATACCTCACATAAGAATGATCCAAATGAGCAGACTCTGTTGCTGCCATCCTCAAGGACCCCACTCACCCCCAGGAAGGACTGTTTATACCCCTACCCTCTGGTCGGAGGCTCAGAAGTGTGAAATGCAGGACCTCTAAACTGAAAAATTCTTCCTTTCCCTCTGCCATCAGACTCCTAAACAGCTGACTCAGGATCTACCTCATGTATTTCCATCTGTACTGTTTACATACTCATTTTGCACATGCATAATTGCACTCACTGCTGAATATTTGCACTTCACGGCTCCCACATAGCATATATTCTCTCTGCATTATATTGTGTTCTTGTTGTTGCTTTAAAGTGCCTTAGATTTGTTTTATTACCAATTTAGATGGTCTATTGCTCATCTACTTTATATGTCACTTGTATTATGTGGCATTCATGTGGACAACAAGGAATTTCATTGTACAGGGAAACACATTTCCTAACTGTGCATATGACAATAAACACTTTGACCTTGACCAGACAGCTGTGGTACTGTGTACTGTCAGAGGTGTCCGAATCAGTACTGAGAGAGATGAAGTTGGATGGGTGCATCCTTAATCATAACAGAAAGCAGAAGGTGTGCTCGCAGCTGACGGTGAGGAAGGAGAAATTTGCAACAAGTATCATAAGTCATTTTGAGTCTTCTCTTGAGATATTTACAACACAAAGGGCAACAGCCAAAGAGGTTGCCCTCACTCACCGTGTTTGGCCTTCTCAGTAGAGGAGGGAGTGCTGGACAGTAAACTAACAGCTGGAGATCGGGATGCAATGGGAGTCAAAGACACTCTCCTGCAAACAAATAGAAAAAGCACAAATGGTAAAGAAGCCTCAAGCATGAGAGCAACAGAAAACACACAAGCACAACAAAGGAAAGTAAAATGGTCTCTTCCACAGTGAAAAAAGTTTCTCACTGTTCAATTGCTTTTATTCTCATCGCTTCATCTGATTGAGTCGCAGCCCAACGTTCAAGTTAGTCAAGACTAGTCGAGGCGAATACAAAAGCCTGTGCAGACCTGCCATTGTTCAACGAGCAGCCTGTCACAGTGATTATTTTATTGCCAGTGGGGGGTCCAACGAATCCCTCATACCAGACAGGGCTTTGTTCTCACTGCCAGAGCTGAGCACATGTAAACCAACAAAACATCATAATTACAATTTTCCTGCATTTTTAGAATAGTATTTTAAATCACATAAAAAATTATATTCTGACTTTCGATGTTTTGGTCTTTTACTAGAAAAATTATCCATACACTGTTTAATATTTCCCATGATTAAAAATGAACATATGACTTTAGGTGTAACTCCCCTCCACTGTCCTCTCCTCTCTAGCAGCAGAAATTATTGGATTGATTAATTTTTTTTACTAACACATTCACAATAGTTTCTTGATCATCAGACAAAGGAGTAAAATATACCTACTCATCAAATAAGGCCCTTTTAATAATACTGTGCTGATCTACAATATATTCTTAGACATTCCTTAATATCTGAAGGTTATTTTATAGCCTTGTATTCTATTTTAGTTATGTGACCATAGCCTTGTTCACAGTTCACCTGCTGTAACACCAGTTTTTGCTCTGGCTAGAAATGATTTTCCCCGTGGGTATCACTACTCCATCTCATATTACCGTTATCACGGTTCTGGCCATGTGGCTTCTAATTAAAAACTCTGCCTCTTTCACATGAACGCACTCGTAGACTGATAGAAAAACCCAGAGTTAACAGACTCAGTTGATAACTGGCTTCGTGGTACCAGATATCCAGGACACTCAAAGTTAGGCTCAGTGAAGCCAGATAACCCCAAGAGAACCGGGCTAAGTTGAACTGGTACAGGCCTCAGGTGTCAATTAAATCACACAAATAACATGAATGACTTGTGTAAGAAACTGAAACAGACAAAAACATTTATATGGCTGAATGATCAATCAAGGGCACAGACAGACACTACCACTAGACTAACTGATAAGTCAGAGATGTCTACTTTCTGTTTTCAATCCCTCAAACATGAGGATTTGCAGCTTTCCTCATTCTCTGTAAATTACATAAAAACCTTTTGGTTTTGGACAAAAGTTGTTCAAAGGCTCCATCTGGACATAATGAAAACTGATAGATTTTCTTCTCATGTCCTGAAATGTTACAGGTTATAAGATTAATTCATAATGTAATAATTAAGAGCTGCAGTCTTGCCACTGACTTACCCTCATGTGCCTACAAGGACCTAAATGCAAATGAGAAAACTGTACCTGTGCTCAGAAGACAGTTCAAACATATGGCAGTATATTTTTACTTTCTCTCACTCAGACAGAATCAAGCACCAGTCCTCTTGTATTTACCTTGGGGCAGGCCCCTTTGGGGTGGTTTTACCCTTAGGAGTTGTGGGCCCAGGAGTACTGGCACTATTGAAGACTTTAGGGGTGGAGGGAGTAAGGGGGGCGATGCGTGGCTGGGATGTGGAGGAATTGGAGGGGGTGAGGGGAGCAATGTGTGCTTGGGGAGTAGATGGTGTGCTTGTGCTTCCAAGTGCCATCTGAGGTGCTAAAGAAGCAGTTCCTTTAGGTGTAGTGGGCTTGCCCCAGCCCTCCAGGGTGTTGAGGGTGATCCTACGAGGCTGAGGTTTAGACTTAACACTGGGGGCACTCTTCTTCTCCTCTGGGGGGGTAACAGAGGTGGCATCTTTGCCATGACTGGTTTTGGAGGTGGGAGTCTGGGCTGAGCTTGATGGCTGGGACACAGGAGGTGATGTCTTGCCTGACTTCTTGCCCTTTTTCTCAACACCACTGTTTGGGACAAAGACCTCCAGCGTCGGGGGCTCCTTCAGTGGAGTGCCCAGCTCCCCGGGTGAGAAGGACAGGAAGGAGCAGTAGCCGTCTGTGGAGGACACAGCCAGGAAGGAACCGTCACGAGACCTAAACAGGATATAACAGAAACACATCAGTGTTTCTAAAACATCCATGGGAGACAGTTTTATAAAACTCTTCCCCCTGATATCTGTAAGAATCTTGTGTTAAAAGATCGCTTTAAATGCCCACATGTACACTGAAACAAAATGTTGTTTCCTGTCCTTAAAGGAAGCATAGGGATCTCTCTCTAAGGTGATTCCATCACTTACAGTGAGGAACAGAAGTATTTGAACACCCTGCGATTTTGCAAGTCCTCCCACTTAGAAATCATGGAGGGGTCTGAAATTCACATTGTAGGTGCATTCCCACTCTGAGAGACAGAATTAAAAAAAGAATTCAGGAAATCACATTGTATGATTTTTAAAGAATTTATTTGTCTTGCACTGCTGAACATAAGTATTTGAACACCTGAGAAACAGCAAGAATTCTGGCTCTCAAAGACCTGTTACTGTGCCTTGAAAAAGTCCACCTCTACTCCACTCATTAATCTAAATTAGTAGCACCTGTCTGAGCTCTTTAAAGACACCTGTCCACCCCACAGTCAGTCAGACGCCAACTACTACCATGGGCAAGACCAAAGAGCTGTCAAAAGACACCAGAGACAAAATTATGGACCTCCACAAGGCTGGAAAGGGCTACGGGGCAATTGCCAAGCAGCTTGGTGAAAACAGATCAACTGTTGGAGCAATTGTTAGAAAA